CTTAGAGAGAGAGAGAGAGAGAGAGAGAGAGAGTTTGGAGAGAGAAGTAGGATTTGTATTAACTGACTAAATGAAGATTACACACACTATTTTATTTTTATAAGAGAAATCCTAACTCCTTTAACCAAATACTAACAACCTTACTAAATGTATTACACTTGTACCCTTAATACTGCCCCTCAATCTCAACTGGGGAAACCCAGTTTGAGATTGGAAGAACTCTACAATCACTAAACACAATGTTGAACCATCTGCAATCTTCCAATCCCACAGTAAAATCTCATGAGCAACTCTGTTGACACAACAAATTCTTTATCGGAAACCTTGGTCCTGCCAACCAGAGTCACTTCCAAACATGTGACTACACGGCCTTAGGCAATATTAACAATCAGCTGCAAACACTTGTTCCATGGCGTAGCAATTGCATGAGAAGCTTTTGACTTCACATGGTTTTTGCCTCCAACATGTCCACCATTGTTTAGCATCTCTTTCATGTTGACTCCAACTTCTCCAGCATTGATTAACATCACTAAACTGCGCAATTTCATATTGGTTCTTTCCAAAGATTTTCAGCCCCATAAACTGATGTCTACACCTCTGTAGCTACTGCAAACCAAATAGAAGTTTGCACCTTTTGCAAATACAATCTTTCCATCCAAAAATTCAATATTCATCTACCTCTCTTAGGAGCTTCAATCGAAGAACAACCTCTTATAAAATTGTAACACACCCTCAGGCTGGTTATAACAATTTCTTGCGAGATTCCCCTTCATGGGATTTACCGTCAACAACTTCATTTAACATTGGCTTTGGCATTTAAAAAATAGAAAAATAACAAACTATAGTGTGGCATCGGCTTTAACTATAGTACCACGAGATCGCCCTTTGTGGATTTTACCAAAAACGACTACTCTTAACAATGGCATCGGCCTTTACAATTTCAACAACAAAAAATCAACATCTATGTAGGATTACCCTTTGTGGGATTTACCATTAACAACTTTTTCTACCGTTCGTGGGATTTACCTAATCACATCATGGAATTACCCTTCGTGGGATTTACCGTTCACAACTTCTTCAAACTTCATCGTATAACCGAACTTACTGTAGATTCATGCTAACAATTGAGTTCGTTAGACTCGACATTATAGGCTATAATAAGGAAAATATTGCACCACTCCTTAGTTAGCTCCTGAACAATCTTCTTAGACATTACACTTCTCAATTTTGGCACAAACCATAATCCGAACAACCACAAAATTGTACATGCCAAAATGCAAGAATTCACACCCATTTTTCCAAATATATCAAGAGTTCCAGAAAGATCAAACCCAATAACCTTGCATAATATCAGTGAAGCAGAGAAAGAACTGGACATCACCATACAAATTGCACAATCCAGCAATGACCAATATTCTTGAATCCAAATATCCCAAATATCACAAACATTGAAATTTAAAAGAAGTGGCTGAAAAACTTAACCTTCACATGAAAATTCTGAGCTGGGCATTTTGTCAAACACTTAGGCTGCACATAGGTCTAAACGTTTTTCCATACCAGAGAACAAATCAAAATCGCAGAAAATAGAATTCAGAAAGCTACTCTGAAAACACCACCAAGATGAATGAAGAAGCAGATAATCAATAGTGCAACGAAATCAAACTATGTTCTCAGTCACATTTTATCTTCAAGCATCACGAGAGAGAGAGAGAGAGAGCTTTCTGCTCAAACCAAAACTCTTAAATCTGGATCGTTTCTTCCCTAAGAAAGCTTCGTCTCTGATCTTGGGCTCCTTCAACAATTTTTTTTTCTCGAATGTGGTGAAAAGATTCACACTTTCTCGGAAAATTGGATTTCGTCTTAGTTTTGGGATCTGGGTTCGTTTCTAGTTAAGATGATGGAGCATGTGTGCTAGCTCTGCAAAAAGAGCTTTGGGAGCGGCATTTAGTTTCGTTCAGGCATTTTCACAAACACCTTGATGGCGGCAGAGGACGACGCGGTCATAATCTACAACTGTAGCGCAATCACTGACGCCAAAAAACAAGCAGAACCCATATTCGATGAAGGTCGATCTTGCCAAGATGCTCCACGAATTCAGAGGTGTTTGAGATCTTGCGAGTTAGCAGCAAAAAATCATAATGAAAGTTTTCTGATCTACCTCCTCTTCGTCGCATTGAATGGGTACCCAGAACAATCAACCCAACAATCATAACAATTACGATCCCAACAATCACAGAAAAATCAACCTAAAACAATCGCGGAAGCACCTAAAATCTAATGAAATTTGGAAAGAAACAAAGTTAGAAACATATGAAAAATAATGGGAAATGGAACTACCATAATCAATGGCGTGAGCCTGGTGGCCCTGATACCATGTTAACTACATTGCAATATTTGGGAATTGCAGAGAAAATCAAGAAGAAATGATGAACACAAAGATCTTAGAGAGAGAGAGAGAGAGAGAGAGAGAGAGTTTAGAGAGAGAAATAGGATTTGTATTAATTGACTAAATGAAGTTACACACACTGTTTTTATAAGAGAAATCCTAACTACCTTAACCAAATACTAACAACCTTACTAACTGTATTTCTAACTGTATTACACTTGTACCCTTAATAAAATTAATTGAGCAAAGGTTGTAGCTAAAATTTTTGTCCGACGATTTGTAGAACTCTGTCGGGCAATTACTGTTTTTTGGGTGTCTCAGAAGTTCAAAGTTAACTCTTAGAAAGAAAACGTTTTTTAATATTCTGTTGCTGCAGCAAACTAATTAGAAGGGAAATCCCCAGAACACGTCTTATATTTTTGGAGGTAGGTTTTCAACAAATCTATGCTCATTAAGATTCGTGTGTACCCAACCAATTGAGTGAGTTGATAGTTGTTGCATAAAAAGCTAGATTGGGATTCCACTACATTAGGATGGTGGGTTCCAAAATTTTAAGAGTATGAAAATCACTATCCCTTCTTTGTCTTCTAGGTCCATAAAACGAAAAAGCTAACCCCTTCTCCCAAACGATTTCCTGCTTAATCTGCTCTGAGGCCAGTTGTCTTAAAAGAAATATTCTCCTTAGTTTGGTGAGATTCAATCTGACTTTGTAAACTCTCTTAAGAAAAGGAGTGACTTTGGATTGTTTGAAAAAATGAGTCCAAAGAATAATTGAGTAAAAGAAGAATGTATATGCTACAAGCCCTCTGCTTTACTCATCCAAGAAGACTGTCACACGACTCACACATCGTTCACAAAACTTTATGGGTTTCAATTTTCTCGGATTATGCATCATACAACAATAGAGGGCTAATTATAATTTACAACTTTCAGGTTTGATGTGGTTTTCAAAAAATGATATGGGTTTCAATTTTCTCAGATTGTACTTTGAGGGTTTAAAACTTAATCAATTTATACATTGTCCTTTTAAATGTCTAATTTTTTTGAAATAATAACCACACGTTTTTTTTTTCTCTTCCAACACACCTTTGTTTATTTTGTCCATTAAATATTATTCAATCCGATGACTAATAATAAACAGAGGTACGGGAGGAGCTAAAAAAATGTGCAAAAATTGACATTTTTTGTTTGTTTATAATTTATAGTTGAAATGAAGGGAGCAAGAAATTATGATTGTATTTTTCTCTGTCAGCAGTATATAGTTGATACCGATGCAACGTGATATATTGAACTTAATTAGGAATTGAAAAAACCTCAAACTTCAAATTTTTCTTCTTCTAAATAAACGATATTATCTACAACCATCTCCAACCCATAAGTCGAGCCAGACAACCAGATGGGGGCTGGAGACTCGAGGGCACCAAAATTATCTTGTTGGTCAGTACATATGAGGTTATGTTTTTGCACGCATATTCATTTTATTTTAATACAACGAAAGTTCAAATCTCCCAAGCAACAAACTAGGGCCCATTTTTCTTTTTGCTGGGAGGCCTTTTTCGCTTTTTACAATGGTGTTATGTTTAAAACTTTAAATATATTGTCTGGAACAAAAAATAGTGGCTTTCTTTATATATGATTTTCACAACTTCATGGTCTTAGAACAATATATATGTAGTATGTGTCCATTGTGATCCGTAAAAATTATTACCGTAATTTGGTATTCATTCATTGTTTATATATAAAAACAAAAAAACTCAAAACTCAAAACATTTTTCTAATGGGACCGATATTGCCAATTGGTAAAATGTTAGTAAAATAGAAATAAAAAACACCCAACAACTATAAGTTTAATTCAAAAATACTTATGTGAAGTTATACTAGGACGTCATTTTTAATATCGTCCAGGGCCTCAAAATCTCAGGAACGACCTTGCCACCAACCACCACCAATGCTTGTTCGTGTTATTGTCCAAATTTTTTTGAACCTTTTACAGTAGGACTCCAGAAAGTTCGCGTTGCAAATCTGCCACTAGGAGAAAGTGAAGGAGTTGAGACAAGTAGCGTGAATTTTTTGGAGAAGGTAAATCTGCTCTTGAACGGGTTGTCTTTCTTTGGATTTCGTCAAGGTGAAGATTGTTGGTGTATTAATTTGAATTCGAACCCTATGATTGATTGAATAAAGGTTCAAATCTTCAACCAATAATACTCTAGATACAGTTTGAGACTCATGAACATTTACCTACTTAAAATTCTGAATATATGTCATGATCTCGAGTACTCAGATTTATTACGTGGGAACTTGGATTCCTTTCACCTAATCCTCATGACCCACAACTCTGGATCCTTAAAATTTGATCCAATGATTAAAATTATTATGACTTTAATGGAGCTCTTCATTTGTAATTATTGGATAAAATTTTAAGGGTCCAAATTTGTGGGTCATGAGGTTTAGGTGGAAGGGATCCGGAGAAAACCCCTTTCCTATTACGTGGTGTATCACAACCGTAGGTACACAAGTTCCATGCATCTAGCAGTCACGGAAGTATACCCCCAACGAAGTCGTGTATATATAAGCACCTCAAACAACAAACCCTTCCTCACCTACTCTCCTCTCTCTCTCTCTCTCTCTCTCTCTCTCTCTGTGACTCTGTCTTCTCAATGTCTTTCTTTCGACTTAGGCTTACAAAGAATAGATCTTAACCATTACTACACCCTTCTTCTTCTTCTTCTTCTTCTGCTATATTTTGATTGTTTAATTCTTCCAACTTAGCTTGGCTTTCCTTGCTTGCTGCTGCTGCTGTTGTTCTTCCTTCTTCTTCTTAATGATTCACATCTAATCTCATCCACCGGATTTCCAAATAACTCACAGTGTATTCTGACCCACAAGTCCTTCACACCCATGGAATCTATGAATTACACAAGGAAAAGTAGTTGGCTCCGTGTTGTTACTTTGAGCTAATTCCTTTTTTTGTTTTTCATGAAATAATTTTAAAAAATTCAATTTTAATTTCTCAGTCGTTGAGAACCGTATATTCTATTAGGGTTCCCCCAAGGCCTCAGGTCATTGGATCCACTTACTACATCAGCCAATGCTTGTGGCTGACATACACAATACACCAATTGTTCTTTTTTCTTTTTTCCTTATATTTTCTTCATATATTTTTCTTCTTTTTTTCATTACTATTTCTTCCTTCATGATCGTCCAAGTTCAATCCGTAACTTGAGAGATAAATTGATGATCCAGTCATTGTTTGCGGGTGCAGCATCATCAAGATTCACAAGTGAGTAGTGTGACATGATTTAATCGATTTAGTCATGTCGATTGAACTCGCGGAGTTGAGAATCTTGATGATGCTGCATCAGCAATAGATGGCTATACTCCCGCAGAGCTGCAAAATGATCAAATTTTCAGCATCCAAAACCAGCAAGGTAATAAACTCTTTCCAATCATCAGCCCTTAATATTCCATCCATATCGTTGCTTACTAAACATATAACCGCAGAGCTGCAAAAGGATCAAATTTTCAGCATCCAAAACCAACAAGGTAATAAACGCTTTCTAATCATCAGCCATTAATACTCCATATCGTTGTTTATTAAACATATATAACTTGGTGGTTAATTTTTCTTGATCATGCTCTAACGTGTACCATCATTAAAGTTTAAAATATATATACTTTCCTTCATGTTCCCATTATATATAGGGTTTTTGAATGTGTAGATCTAGTGGGTAGCTGAAGTTACTTTAGGGTTTTGTTGGCCATGGAAAGACGAATTTCTGGGTGATTCTGCTTTTGGAATTTAGTCATATATTTGGAATTTTTTATTTGGAATTTTTTTGGATCTAAAAATTTGGGAGTTCCTGTAATAAAACATTCAATTGAATCAAAATATATAGGTGGTGGCCGTCATGTGGTTCGGTAATTCAGGTTACTCTTCGGTGTGACATATCTCTATTCCCAATTGAAAACTTGATATCACCTGTGAGGGCTCTGATTCAATCGTGAGTTCTCTTTCTCCCAAGAATACAACCATCCTGTCATCATAGTAATCCCAAAAAATTTCTTGTAAATCATCCTGAGAAAATTCTGAGCTAAAGCATTTAGTATTGCGCCAGAAGTACTAAATATCCAAATAGTTTAAAAGAAAAAAGTAAAGACAAAAGACAGGTGTTGCCTCATCTTTCCAATATAGAGGAATATGTGTGTGTGCGTGTCTGTGTATTCTTTGCAGTAACATGGTGGATTTTCGGATTCATAAATATGTGCTAATACCTGAAGAGATGAGCTTCTAGGCCTAGTTCACAATTAGTTATCACCTTCGAGACTTATATCCGGATATTGCAGCATGCCACCAACAAATAACCTATTTGTATGTGAGTTATCAATTCTTCAATCACTTTTTTTTATTTACGTCACTTCTTTCTACATCACTTGCTATAAGGTACTTATGTAGTGGAAAATCTCAACATGTAGATGTCTGACTGATACCATATAATTAAGCAGCTAGCTATAGCTACAATTCATATTCTTTAATGCCTCATTCCTTCGCATCTTAGAGCTGGTCGATAGTACTCGAAATACCATGCATGCACATATACAGCCAGGCTATGCGTGACAGAATCCCCGACATGCAAAACAAGATAAGCGTAGAGGCGTAGAGGCTGGAACTTTTCTTTGATAGAAAGCCTGTGCTGGAACTCAGAACTTAGAAGAGCAAAAGATAATTATGCTTCTGTGTGTGTGTGTGTGTGTGTGTATCTGTTTCTTGTTTTCCCATAGACAATTGTATGTCACAAAACCACACACACACACGTATAGTACGTATTAAAAGAAGAATTTCATGGAGGAATGAAAATTGATGATGTTTTATAATTAATTATAATTACTATTGGATTGAATATTGTCCAGTATTAAGTAATGTAATAATTGGAAGATGATTTGGCTTCAACGACGGAAGAATGACATAGTTTGTAATTTCAGATTTGTACTTTGTAATTTTACTAACACTGGCCAACTGCCTTTAATTTTTGGAGAGCATTTTTGTTAAGTATGATACTTAAGCAACCCATGGCAAATGTTGACTAGAAGACAGGCGCGCATACATGAAAAAGAAAAGAAAAGCATGCATAAACATTTGGAGCCATTCGATTGTCAAATACCATTGCTTTAATTTATTTATAATCTTAAGAATCTAATGATTTGCCTGGTCTATAGGAATTATAAGGGATAAATCATTATTTCAAGGTATGTTGAATGAAGAAATGAAAATATTGTGTTCAATTTGAAGGTCGAAGATGGTTTACTTATAAAGAAATAAGAAGTCCATTGTCTAATCTAGTATTCGCCTCGACATGAAAAATCTAGCTCTCTCCTCTACCATCAATATACCTTGAATTTAAGACCTCATTTGATATGAATGGCTGGATTAGAATGAAGGACTCTTAAATATCAAGGTATATTGAAGGCAGAAATGATGGTTTTTCATTTAGAGAGGATTAGAAGAGTGGACTGCCTGGGGCGGTGCCACTAGCTGGTCCTCTTTTTAAGAAAAAAAATAAAAATTAGGAAGAGGATTAGTCTAGTCCATCTTCCATCCAATCTAGGTGTTTATTATTTTATAATTTTTCTCTTAACATATCTTTAATTTAGCTGTTTATCATTCTAATTCAATCATGTATAACAAATGAGTCTTAAAAGATTATCCATTATTACAATCCAATCATGAAAGACAAAACGAAGACCTTAGGGTATGCTTGCATTTTTTTTAAGCTTATAAGAGAACTTCTCATATAAAGAAATGTTACGAACATTAGACCCAAGTCTATCCAAGCATGGCCAAAGTAGTTACTATAGAATTGAACCGGTGAATTTAGCATGTACACTTGTGAAGTAGAAGAATCTTAAGCCATGTCATGTGGGACATTGATGACAAGAGCTGTTATGTCAAGTGAAAAGAAGGGAGATGAATCGTTCATACATTTGAAGGTCCACAAGTTTGTAGAGTGACTGAAAAAGAGAGAAGAAAAAACAACAGTAATGAGCTAAGGCCATAGGAGATCATCAACCCAACTGAAAACTGCTTTTACGCATATACAAATAATGCATGTAAGAATATAACGTCTCTAGTTTCTTGATTGATAACTATTCTTCAAACATATATGTGGCGTGAACCTTTTTCTACAAGCATCTCACACATTTTATGTTTTTATTTGAGTTTTATCAATCATTTTCCTGTCAATCCAGCTACACAGTCTGATGATTTAATATAAGTTCGGGATATTAAAATTTCAGATAAGTTAGTACGTATATAAGCTATATAGATATTTTTTTTTGAGTAAATTACATAAAATTACTTCAACTATGGATCGAATCACAATCTTATACTTCATGCTTTAAACATTGCAATGTCATACCTCAATTTATGAATCTGTTACAATGTCAGACCTTCGTTAACTCTTCTATCAATTTGACTATTAAATGATGACGTGGCAAGAGGAAGGCCCACTCATTTGCCAATTGGAATAAAAAATCAATTAATATTGATAAATTATTAACTGTTTTGTTAAACAATTAAAATTAATTTTAAAAAAAAAATCTTTGTTTAAAAGTTTGTATTTGGGGTTGATCTTGATTTTGATGAAATGACCAAAAATTAAAGTTTTCAATTGTTGGCAGAGGGTCATGTTCTTAAGGTATCTCAAAGAACATGCCAAAATATATACATCAGCTATAACAGTAAAAATAACCCATATTAATATTCTCCAACCAAAGTACTAAATCCTATATTGCGATTACATGTATTGGCAGCAAAAGAGATTGCTGACAGCAGCGGATCCGAATTCGATTTTTTTTTTTTTTTAATCTAAACCCGGTGGCGCGCCGAGGCTTTGAATTGTCGTCGATCTCCTAGTTGGGAATGACGATTCCGGTGGAGACGAAACTGACGTGCTTGGTGACGTCGTCATTCCTGCGTTTTTTGGAGCCGTCGTTGTCATCGTCATCGTCGGAATCGCCAGTAAACTCAGTCCATGACTCGGCCGAACCTGGTGGAAGAGCTGTCGTGAATTTCAAGGAGTCATTGACAATATGAATGGGGATAAAGGTTTCGGCGGCACACCAACGAGGCTGGAGAGGGTTGAGGCGACAAATTATGTTTGGGGGAGGTGAGGATGGAGATTTGGAGCGGCGGAGGAGCTTTTTTCTTGAAATCAGGGATTAGGGTTCTTGAGAGGGTGGTGGTGTTTTTGTCTGGGGCGAAGTTCAAGGCTTAATTTTTTTTTTTAATTTAAATTTTTTTGGATTTTAATTTTTAAATTTTTTTTAAATAATAAAGCCAGCGTGGAGTTTTAGTTAGGCAAAGAGTGAGTCTCATGTCTAGCATTTAACAGAAAAATACACTGAGCTATGAAATTGTAACAAATTCGTAAGTGAATGTATGACATTGTAATGTTTAAAAGATGAGGTATGAGTTGTTAGAAGACAATACTAAAATGTTATTTACCCCTTTTTTTTAATATTTCCATCATTTTTTTTCTTCCCCTTTGATAAATCAACAAGTTAAAAATCACTAAATAATATGTTAAATTATCTGACAAGAAACACATTTATGTGCATAATTCCATGCGTAATTGCAAGTATATATATTGTAAAAGTTTGTAATGGAAAATTGCTCACCTTTGTGCACTGCAACTCATCGAGTGAGAAATATTATTCACGATTCTTAGCTCCAAATTGAATTCAATTGCGCTCATTTTACCAAAAGTACATTTAATAATAAAATGTTCTGCCTGAAAAGCAGGATTAATTTGTTCATGCCATTATTTTTATAACAACAATCAATAGTAGAAAAAATAGCTTGTGCAACGAGATTTTAGGTGACAAAAACCTAAGTGGCACTTGCGTGACAGAAACACATATTGGTTGTGCAAAAATGGCAGAACTACCAAAAAAACAAAAAAAAAAAAAACTTTATGTGACGATTACATGTATTCGTCGCACAAGAAAAAGCGGAAAAAAAATTTTTGGCACCAAATGTTGCGTGACAAATATTTCCACATATTCGTCGTGCAAAGTTTCGCTGAAAACGGTAAGTTGCCCATTAAACGCTCTTATTTAGTGTGCATTTAAAACACACTTTGGGCAACCAAGGGTTCGTCGCGCAAAGTGTTACGGGTTTTATGTAAACACAGTTTCAGAACCCTAATTTTCAAAGGTTTTGTTTCAAAAGCGATGGCTGATTCGATTCCTAATTCAACAAAAAGTTGCGAGGGTGAAGGCCCTCCTGAAGGGAAAGGTAAGAAAGAAATTTATTGTTGAATTAGTTGTCTTATATTTGATATGGTTGAAATTATTTTTTTAATAGTCTATTACTTTTAAAATTTTGTGGTAGAAAAAAAAATGAGGAAAGCTGTGTTGTGAATAGAGACGTACCGGCATAAGCGATTGCCTTCCGTTGAAGACAAAAGTAGGGCTAATGCGTATGCTGAACTTAAGTTTGATATTAGGGGATTGGTACAGAACCAATGTTCTACCGATTTTAAGTCTTGGGAAACAGTGCCTGAGGAGTTGAAGAAGTGCATGGTGCGGGAGTTATCGGTAAGTTTGTACTAAAGAATGTGTAATTGTTTTTGTTAAAAAGTAATATTTTTATGATTATTAATTTATTTTTATTGGCATTACATGTTGTTTATTGGGAGGTTGATGAAACCGATGAGAAGCAGCAGAAGTATCTGGACGACCTTTTCAAAATGCAATTCCAACAGTAGAAGTTCGATGTGCAGCAGGTTGCGAAGCGTGCACGAGTTGCCGATGTCCCTGTTGATGCCCCAGAGGAAGAGAAGTGAACTTTTTTTATTTTTTTGTTTATGAAATAAGATATAGTTGAACATTATGTTTGACTTTATTTTAAAATTTTATGTTATATGGACAACTATTAATGTTTATATTAGTTGTAATATATATTTGTGTTAATAAATTAGTTTTATTAATTATTTTGGTAATATATAATTTGGTTTGAGTTTTTTAATTGGACAAAAAAAATTACATTAGTCATAAAGAAAAAAAATTACAAAAATAATAATAATGCAACTTGCGCAACGAATATAGTGTTCGTCGTGCAAATAGTTTACATTAACCAATTATAAAGAAAACAAAAAAGAAAACTAAAAAAAAATTGAAACTTGCACGCAAATTATTTAAAATTACAACTTGCAGGACGAACACTATATTCGTCGTGCAAAGTAATTCTTCCAATAGTAATCTTTATAAGGTGACTTCCATTGCAGAGGCAGAAACTACAAAAAAAAAAAACTGCAGAATCCATCTCTGCACCTCCTCCCCCTTTGTTTTTTCTTCAATTCAGCATCCGTCATTCCCATTTTCTCTCAATTTCTTCCTCTAATACTCCATCCATCTAAATCTCTATCTTCTCTAGGTTGATTGAGCTATTTCAATGTGTTTGGTAAGGGATTTTTTAAAAGTATAAATGTCAATTCCTATTAACGTTGTAAAATTCATTGTGTATAGGGATATTGTGTGTGACTAGCACTCGATGGATAACGAATTGGAAGGTATTTTCTTCATTTTATTTTAAAAAAATATAAATTATTTAAATTATATTGAAATTATGTTGTTATGTTTTTATTAAGTTGTTAAATTGTAATTATATTATGTTGTTAAAATTTTTATGTTATAATTATGTATAATGTTGAATTGTATATGTACATTGTACGTGACGTACAAATATGTGTTGTGATGTACGAAGTTAATTGTAATTAACTTCATATGTGTTTTTTTTTAGTAAAACTTAGTTTCCTATTCAAGGATTAGTTGGATTTCGTGCATGGATGCGAAAGCATGACTGCAATCCAATCGATTCTTGAATTGTCCTATTATTTGGACAGTTTGGGAATGCAAAGTTATGGCGCGTAGTTTACGGTTAAAGGATTAGGTTTCGGTCGTGGGGATTTCAGTGTCATCTCTTTACGTTCTTTGGATGGCATATAGGTATTTCATATCTATGTCATGCACTGGAAGAATTGTACAGAGATGCTGTCGAAATTTCTCCACGTTGAAATCTAATATGAAGTAGTAGTGAATTACATGGCATAACTTTGCATTCCTGAATGGGATAGGGCCTTTACCGGAGGCATAAGGTGATAAGATCATGTTGAAATTGTTGTACTGTTATTGTGGTTGCAGCAATTATGGACAGAACGTGGATGCAGAATCTGAACAAATATGCCAACGAATACTTGGACGAAATTGATGATTTTATTGACTTTGCACGTACACACAACCTTGGTGCAACTATAATCCAGTGTCCTTGTAGGAGGTCTAACAACATGTTAAGGGACACTATTAAAAATGTTTGATTTCATTTAGTAAGGAATGGAGTGGTAGAGACCTATAATATTTGGAACCATCATGGGGAACATTTAGAAATGCTTTGTCTTCAAACGTGACAAGTGTGGGCAATGTTGAACCTAGTATGGATCCTAATGAACAAGTCATGGAAATTTTAAATAATGCTTTTCCATTTACATCAACAAATACCAATTAGGAAGGGAAAGATGACGTGCCTACATCAATGGACAACACAGAATTCGAACAATTTGAAAAACTATTAAAAAAAACCAACCAAAAGTTATACCCGGGGTGCAAGGGCTTTTCGATTCTCACAGCTATTGTGGAACTAATTCACGCAAAACAAAATATCGTATGTCGAACCAGTATTTTGTTTACTTTTTGGGGGTTTTCAAGAGAATGTTACCAAAGGACAATTGTTTGCCAAAAGACCATAGAAACGCTCCAAAGGTGTTGAATGGTCTGCGATTGGGTTATGAAAAAATTCACGCTTGCAAAAATAATTGTATATTGTTCTATGAGGAGAATAAAACGTTAGTATGTAATGAGTTAAGATTTAAAATGACATCTTAGAATAGATCGACAAAGATCCCACAAAAAGTCATACGTTATTTGCCTTTGAAGCCTAGGTTGCAACGGTTGTATATGTCAACGCATACTGCCACCAACATGAGATGGCATAAGGAAAAATGAGTAGATGACGATGTGATAAGGTATCTTGAAAATGGGGAGGCATGGAAAGAGTTCGATCAAACGTTCCTTGATTTTGTTGCTGATCATCGGAACATTAGATTGGGACTTGCCACGGAAGGATTCAATCTGTTCGGCGTTCTAAACCAACACCATAGCACTTGGCCGATTTTCGTATAATTTGCCGCCATGGAAATGCATGAAAAAGGAATACATTATGACTTTATCGATAACTGAGGATCCTGGTAGGTCAATCGATGTTCATTTAAGGCCGTGGTGGATGAGCTAAATGATTTATGAACACACGGTGTGCACACATACAATAAGTGTACTGGCAAGATGTTCACTTTGCGGGTAACAGTAATGTGGACTGTGAATGATTTTCTTGCATATGCAATGGTTTCCAGGTGGAGCACTAAAGGTTATATGACATGCCCTATATACTAAGATGACGTAACATCTGGTTGGCACGTTGGAAAAGTTTGTTACCTTGGTCATCGGAGATGGTTGCTATGGGACCACGAGTGGCGAGAGAAGGATAAAGAGTTCGACGGGAAAATAGAGCCTCGTCTCAATCCTAGAGAATGGTCCGGTGATCAGATTTTGGAACAGCTTAACCGTTTGGATTTTGCTTTGTTCAGGAAAACTATTAGTATGACCACACCTTCTATACATATGAACTGGACGCACAAGTTTATGTTTTTTGAGCTCTTGTAATAGTCGAAACTAAAATTGAGACATAACCTCAATGTTATGCATGTTGAGAACAATGTATTTGACACATTGATCGGCACAATTCTAGATATTAAGGGCAAGACAAAGGACATGATTAAAGCTCGTCTTGATTTGGAATGAATAGGAACACGAAGCGGTTTATGGATGAATAGGGACAGTGATAAAGCCAGAAGGGATCTTGCGTTTTTTTTCCATGAAACCGAATGACAAAAAAAAATTTTTAAAGTTTTTATCGACTGTAAAGCTTCTCGATGGGTATGCTTCTAATATCGTGCGTTGCATGAATGTTGATAAGTGTAAATTAGTTAGACTAAAGAGTCATAACTGCCATGTGGTTATGCAACACCTACTTCCTATTGGTATTCGACATCTTTTGCCAGATGACGTAGTGAAACCAATCATGTTGTTATCTATATTTTTTTCGCAATTGAAATCAAGCTCATTGCGAAAGACGGACGTTAATCAGTTACGCCATGACATTGTCCAAATTCTATGCAAGTTTGAGATTATATTTCCTCTAGCTTTCTTCACAAGTATGATCCACGTGATGGTTCACTTATCGGATGAGGCATTGCTTGCTGGACCAGTCAACTTTCGATAGATGTATCCAATAGAAAGGTATATAATCATCGTCATTTTTTATAAGATCATTATCTGACAGTTAGTAAAATTTGTATCGTATCATTTTATTTTGGTAGGTTTCTCGGGGAGTTGAACAAACATGTACGAAACAAAGCAAAACCCAAAGCATCAATTATACAGGCTTGGATGGCATATAAATAGCTTACGTTTTGTGGAATGTATATAAAGGTTGCAATAATGATAGGGGTGTGAGAAAGGAGAAACTTTCAATTTTTGCCCAAATCGCTCGACCTTTTGGAGATCCGATACGAGGCAAGTAATTTTCCAAAAAGACATGGAGGTAGCACATTGGTTCGTACTCAACAATTGTGAAGAGACAATGTCATACCTAGACAAGCATGAAGATACGATGAAGCGGGCACATGTTTCACATTTGTATGCCAAGAAACACCGTGGATTGTTTCCGCGGTGGTTTCTCGAATATGTAAGTTTGAAGTGTTTTGTATTAGACATATATATTGTACCAATTAATTTTCTTGAACTAACAAATTTAAGTGTTTGGGTAATATTAGGTGAATCAATTGAAAGCATTAAATTTCCCAACGTACAGTGAATAGTTATATAACTTGGTGTTCGAATTGATCGCGCTGAATTGTTCTCGGGTTGCCATGTTAATGGCATCAAGTTCGTAGGGGCTGCATAAGATGACAAGTTGTGTACACAAAACAACGGTGTTCATGTCCTAGGTCGATGCGAAAGTACTAACATTGAATTTTATGGCAAACTAATAAGCGTCGTGCAATTGCTTTACAAACATCGATGCTAAGTGATCATGTTTAAGTGTTGATGGTTTAATACAAACCTAAATAGGTAGGAAAGTGTTAAAAGAGATCATGGATTACTATCAGTGACCACTACCAAAACTTGATACGATGACGACCCTTACATCTTAGCAAACATGGCAAAACAAATTTTGTATCTAGATGACCCTAAAGCCGAGAGGGGTTGGAAAGTTGTTCAAAAGATGGATCATAGGAACGTGTATGCTATAATAGAACAAGACCCTGCTAACGACGACATCAATAATATCACTAACCAATGTCTAGAATCTTTGATGGAAATTGGTGTGGAAACAGATCAAGTTACTAATCATATCCAAGAACCATTTCAGATAGAAGAAGTATCTTCAATCGAAATATGGATTCAATTTGACCTCGGTAATCTTCCGTGATACGATGCTCTAGTGCTCATAAACGACGATGGTGACTTACCTATTAATGATGAGGAATGTGACATTGAAAATGATGACAGCGACGAAAGTGAAAGTTATTATAGTTCGAATGAAGATTAATGCAATTTTTTTGTAAAATACATTAAATGGTTAATGCATTTTATATGTGAATTACTTTGTAAATAAATTTGTTTTATTAGTATTTTATCATAAATTTTAATCAAAATTCTACACACAAATAAATTAAAAAAAAAAAAACATTTTTAAACATAATTGCGCGACGAACAAGCCTTTTTCGTCGCGCAAGCATTTTAATTTTACATTGGTGATTTTAATTTTCAGGTGACGAATACCTTGATTTCGTTGCGCAAAGAACATTTGCGCGACCGAATCACAACATTCGTCGTTCAAGTGTTTGAAAATTAAGGTGCCCTTTTTTTGTGAATTTTTTTTTAAAAAAAGCCCAACGAATTTTTAAACCTTGTGCGACAGTGCCTCCATCGCGCAAGATTCTATGTACTTACTCCCATGTGTCGTTTTCCTCCCGTCACTTTCTTTTTCCTTTTTATCCCTGATACCCTCTCTCTTTCCTCTTTCTCCCGACACCATTGCAGCCCCTCTCACCCTTACTTTCTCTCCCCCGACACCCTCTCTGACCCTTTCACTACCTCTTTCCGTCGCTCACCTCATCTCTCCGCCCCTCTCTCCGTTGCTCACCTCATTTCTCCATCCCTCTCTCTGGCCGTCGCATCTTCATCTCCAAGAGGTAATTTCCTCTTAATTTTTTTTTTCAATTTGCTTTATTTGCCATGTTAATTAGGGTTTATAGATTAACGATTTGTTTTTTCAAAAAAAATTTTTATTGGGGTTTAGAATTAGGGCAGTGGAATTAGATTTGGGTTCGTAAATTGGGGGTTACATTTAGATTCTTAAATTGGGGTTAGATTTAGGTCTTAAATTAGGGGAACGATTTTGGGCAGTGAGGTTAGATTAGGGTTTTCTTAAATTGGGGGTTAGATTTATGATGCTTAACTGGGGGTTAGATTAGGTTCTTAAATTAGGGTTATTGATTTTAAATTAGGGGTTGGAATTAGGGCAGTGGGTTACAATTTGAGTTCTTAAATTAGGGGTCTTAAATTAGGGAATTTTTTTATTATTTTAAATTAAGGTTTATAATTAGGGCAGTGGGGTTAGATTTAGGGTGCTTAATTTATGAGGTTAGATTTAGGGTTCATAATTTAGGGATTAATTGATTTTAAATTAGGGGTTACAATTAGGGTTCTTAAATTAGGGCAATGGGTTACAATTAGGGTTTTTTTTTTTTTTAAATTTTTTAATTTTTTTTTAATTTTATTTTAAAGGTTAGAATTAGGGCAGAGGTGTTATATTTAGGGTGCTTAATTTATTGGGTAAGATTTAGGGTTCTTAAGTTAGGGGTTAGTTGATTTTAAATTAGGGGTTACAATTAGGGTTCTTAAATTTAGGGTTAGAATTAGAGCAGTGAGTTCGATTTAGGGTTGTAATGGTTTATTCGTTTTAAATTTGAGTAGAAATTATTATGCATGTGTATGATAATTTTCCGGGTAAAGTACAAAAAATTACCTCAACTATTGGTGTCACAACACTTTCATACCTCATCTTTTAAAATTGACAATGTCATACCTGATCCTACGAATTTGTGCCAATGTTATACCTTCCGTTAGCTTGGCGTGAATTTCTCAGTTAAATGCTAACGTGGCTTGATTCATGGCCCACTTTCTATTAAAAAAAATTAATATAATATTATTAAAAAATAAAAAAAATCATTTAATATTTTTTAAATATTAAAATAATAAAGAAAAGCGAAAAACAAAAAACAAAACAAAACCTTTCTTCCCTTTCCCCCTCCCTCCCTCCCCCATCTACCTACTGCAACTCAGAAAAAAGAAGGAAAAAAAAAAAAAAAAAAACTTCATCCCTTCCCCCCTCCCCCCTAGTGTCCTTCTCTCTTCTCACCCATCCCCTTTTCCCCCCACCCCCTCTTCTCCCCCACCCGAGCCCCTACCTACAACCCAAAAAAAAAAAAAAAAAATCCTAGTTTGTCTTCCTCTCGCATCCACCTTTCACACCCAACCTCGCATCCACCTTCTGCACCCAACCTCGCACCCACCCCTCGCGGAATCGACCTGGCGAACAGGATCTGGGTTTTTATTTTGGATTTTTTCTTCTTCTTCTTCTTCCTCCTCCTTCTTCTTCTTTCTGGGTTGCAGGGGGTTGGATTTTATTTTTTTTGGGGGGTGGGGGACGAACTGGATTGGGTTTTTTTTTTTTTTTTTTTTTTTCCTTCTTCTTCTTCTTCCCCCGGGGGGGGGGGTTTGTTGGGGGTTGATGGGTTTTCAATTTTTTTTTTTTTTTTTGGTTGAAGATTAAGCAGGGAAGAAGATGAAGATGGGGAGAGAGAGAAAGAAGGGGGAGGGGTGTGGAAGGGACGAAAGGTTTTGTTTTTTTTGTTTAACTTTTATTTATTATTTTAATATTTAAAAATATGAAATGATTTATTTTTTTAGTTTTTTTAATATTTTAATAATTTTTTAATAGAATGTGGGTCTGGATCAAGCCACATCAGCATTTAACTGACAAATTAACGGCAGGCTAACGGAAGATATAACATTGGTACAAATTCGTAAGATGAGGTATGACATTGTTAATTTTAAAAGATGAGGTATGAAAGTGTCGTAACATCAATAGTTGAGGTAATTTGTTGTACTTTACCTTAATTTTTATCTTTGTAATCTTACATATTTATTTCCAATTTTGTAGATGTCGCAGCTCATTAGAAGCCAGAAGGCGATGACAACTACACCTTGTCCGATGACTACACCTTTTACTGTTGTCATAATTGCTGCGGCAGAGATGGACCATAGGCCAGTGAATCCAATTGACCCAGTTGGTCCCTGAGTCCCACAGACACTGGAGTCTTCGACTTCTTCAGTGACGCTACCTTTTAGCGCCTAACGTGATCATTAGTGCCCCCGCACTCCGGAGCAAATGTCGCCATCAGGATCCACAACCAATGCCTCGAGTTCATAGCCAGGTATATTATCCTAATTAACTCCCTCATTCCCATGTTAACTTAGTGTTGTTATTTTACGTTAATTTTGTTAAGTTACGTTATTCAAAGATTAAAAAGTTATTTTATATATATATTGTTTATTGTTGTCATTGTTCCCAACCCATTATTAAACAGTTGTGATCATTGTGTTGGATACATATATTGTTTATGTAATTTTCAGGGTTTGGGAAATATTTTAATTATAGGGAGGTTCTGCTAAAATTTCGGTAGCATTTGTTATTAGTTTTGGTTTAACGTTAATTTTTAATTTGTTCGCAACCAAGAAAAACACCCGAGGACCTTGTCGGCAATTGAAGACGGCGAAGGTCACCCGGATGACCAACAACCATATCACAATCAGATACGGTGAGCGACATCGGGCTACACCAACTACGGAGCAGCATAGCACATTGGCCTAAGACATTAGGCATGTCATTCGGACCTTTTGTCCTATGTGGTGGAAGTCTTGGAAGGCAATACCAGACGAGGTGAAGAACATGGTGCGCAATCATTTATCGGTAAGTATCCTCACCTTTTTAATGGTTTTCATATAAAAGTTATATATTTATATTTATTAATGTATTTAATTACTAATACTTTTGTAATATTTGTTACATTGTAGACAAACTACAATTTTGATAACATTTACAAGGACATGTAGGCGTACCTCAATCGACTCTTCTCCGAACTGTACAAGCAGTGGAAGAGTGACCTACACTAGTATTTCGAGATGCTTGATGATCTGCAGGTTGCTCTCGAGGAGGGTTGCCCGAATGAGTTTGAGGAATGGGAAGATAGCTGGGTTTGGCTCTGTGGTCATTTTCAGGAGCTGGGCTATGTGGTCCCTTTTTAAATATGACTTATTTCATTTTACTTTTTGAAATTTTTACTAATGTTTATTAATTTTTGTATATTTTCTTTAAATATTACAACTAATATGTTTATTTTGTGTATAACAGAAGAAGGCGAAGGCAAACAAGATCAATCGGGAGAAAAAAGACTATTCTCCACCATTCGGGTTCAAGACCCTTCTCATATAGGGGGGTTCAAAATTCCCTAAGATAGACATCTTTGCTAACGTTTATGTTCAGCCCGGGGATGAGTTGGCCGAGTCCCTTCATGTAAGTATTATTCAATTTTAATTAATGTCTTATGCATTAAAGTATTATAATAATTAATTCAAATTGTTTATTATTAATATTCCATGTTTTATTTCACAGAAGACTATGGTGGAGAAGAGCCAGTCGGTTATTCACGAGTCCGCCTCCCAGCTCCCCCCAGCCACGTCGATCGAATCTGTGGATCCCTCCGAGGATGTGGGTTTCTCATCCTTACAAAGACCTTGGACCAGACCTTTGGTCGGAGGCTAGGATGTATTGCCGGGGGATAGGGAATGCCAGGCAACGGGAGAGTGGAGCCTCTTCATCCTTACAGTCGAAGGGTGAGGTTACAGCTTTGACACAAGAAGTCGTTGGCCTGAGGACTGAGCTTGCATCGTACAAAACTCAGATGTCATTCATCGTACATGCCCTAAGTTCCTCCGGGATCCGTCCCCCCGATTTTTCTGCACCATCAACATCAGAGCCCCTCCACCCTAAACATACCTAGCAATTAGATCTGTCGGCCCCCGACCCCGTCCCTAACCCCAACCCCTTCCACCAAGCACTTCCGAACGACTTGCTCATAGATTATGCTGCATTTTTTTCTTTTTTCTTTTTTTTCCCGCTTTCTATTTAAACTTTGTAGTTGTACATACATTTTTATTTATTTATATTATAAATAAATTATTTTTTTATTCATTAATTTTTTTTTTTCCAATTGTATTAAATATTTTTTTTATTAAATTCTATTTATTCTATCGTGCGATGAAAGCCTTCGTTTGTACACATTTCTTGCAACGAGCAATAAAACGTCGCGCAATCGTTTTGCCGCACTTTGTTGCGCAAAGTCTTTCTTCACAACCTTTGCGCGACAATTTCTGCATCGCCATAAGTTTTGTGCAACCTGGAAATGCTTTGCACAACAAATACTCCCTTGTCACACAAAGTGCTTATTGCAGTAGTGAACCTAGTTATACGTAAGATAAATTTAAGGAAGAACAATTTTTTAAGGTAACCTTATTAGCACGAAAGATAATAATAGAAGACAATACCAAACAGGTAAATCTAGCATTCAACTTATATTGTTATTAATTGATACATTTCGTAACCTTTTATCGCTGATCAGCTGATTGCAAGTCTTTAATGGTCATACCTGAATGTTTCTAGCTCGTTAGTCAACTATATATTGTTATTAATTGATACATTTCTTAACCTTTTCTCTCTGATCAGCTGATTGCAAGTCTTTAATGGCCATGCCTGCATGTTTCTAGCTCGTTAATTAAGTATATAACATCTAAAGTTACTTTTTATCAGTACACTTATATTACAGTTTAATGGTATTCTTCTTCACGTATAAATAATCTTAAATTTGAATCTTATGAATAACAAATTCAATACAAATTTCTCTCTAGCATAGATTTATCGTTATATATATATATATATATAAATTAATATTTATCAAGAATGAAAATCATATTTTTTAAACCACGGCCGCATCAGTTTTTTTATTAAGCGTGGTATTCTCTTTCTGTCGATCAAGTTAAAAGTCCTCACAAAGTTTTAATGAAGGCACTTAATTAGATGCATATATACTATCCTGTACATATTCTTCTTCATCTAGATAAAAATCTTTTAAAATTTAAAAAACAACTTAAAACCATCACAGCGGGGTTGGCGGTTGTGACATAAAACCTTGACCAGACAAAACTATTTTCTAGAAGGGAATCCCTAATAAACTCAGGGTACCTAAGCAGAAAGAAAACCCCCTTAGCATAATTATAACTGGTGGCAATTTTGTCTCTTAAAACTATAGTTTTGTTTTCCGCTTGATTAATTTGAATGTATGACTTATACATGCATATATACCAATTCTACCCCCCAATGATCCATCAAATAGTATATATAGCTATGGATGAAGCATGAGTGGTTGATCATTTGCCATAGCCAAACTGCCATTGACGAAAAAGTTATAGCAAAGAAGTACTGCCTAATAATGGTTAGACAAAACTAAATGTATTTAGAGATTAATATCTGTAACAGAAAATAAACAGCGAACATTTTATACAAGGATTGCTATGTACGTATTCACTGGTATGCAGCAGTGCGTCCACAAAATAATGATGCAGGGGTGGAAAAGTACTGTGGACCTGTGGTGATATAATTGCTAGTCCTCCCTACAGAAAATATTTCAATTGCTAAATTCACATAAAAAAATCTATATACATAATTTCAACCAATATTATACTCTGTAAAGAAAAGCAAGTCCATTGTTCCGGTTTATATATAGTTCCTCAGAGAAAACCATGAATATACTTTTTATGGGAAAATATAGTATTCTGCAGATTACTGCATGGTCAAGATATCCAAATTAAAAATTGTAAAAACCCAAAAGGAAAGTTTGACGTTAACGAAATTATATAACTGCGGTTTAGCAAGTTCATCACCTTCATTCTATTTCTACTCTGCAATATTATCTGTGTTTTAAATTGTAAATGAGCAAGTTGTAATATATATATATATGCACACACAGTTGTTCTTTTGTCAAACTTTTCATTCTTATATATACAGGAAGTCTTTAAGGGAAGGGATCCCCATTTTTCAGAAAAAATGGGAACATCCTCTTAACCGTTAGATTTGGCTTTAATGAAATCCTGTGATTGAGATTATATGGCCTGTGATTTAATCTCAGCCATATAATTTCATTAAAGTCAAATCTAATGGTCAAGAGGGTGTCCTCATTTTTTTTAAAAAAATGGGGATCCCTTCCCTTAAAGGGCCTGTATATATACATACGCGCATGAATATAAAAATTATCTTACAAATGTGGCCGGTTGACAAACTAAAATACATATATTATCAGACCATGAATTTATGTAATAACTAAATTGATGTTTGTCATGAATCTGCAATCTAATATATAATTTGGTAAATATATAAGTAACATAAGTATGATAAAGAACATTACCTTATATATACACATAAATGCATGTCATACCAAATGCTGGTCCCCAGAAATGGCTTTTGCCCCACCATGGGACTACATATTTTTACAACTTCGATGGATCAAAGTTCTGACCACGCATTATATTCAATAATTCTAACCATAAGTAGTACTAAAGATGCTAGATAGCATAGCAAGATTTCACAAATCTCTAATGGGTCACTAATGGTCCCCCTGCAGATGGTAGCTAGGCATTGCATAGTACAATATAGTGATGAGCGAGGCCGACATGGTGTTCCCACATCCAACAATTCCAACCTATAAAGTTTTCAAAAAGTACTTGGCATTGTTGTATGATATTCAAGTTTGAGAGAAATGCAGCTTGTGAGTAGTAGTGCTCATACAACCGTTGGCACTCGTACTGTTTTTTCTTAATTTGCGACCACAAGTCGAGCTTGTGAGTGATGACAGTTGACAGAGAGAAGTTGTACAAATGAACGTCCATATGGTTTCGTGTCGTTAAAGTAGCCTGTTATATTGGCAATGCTTTTTGTGATTTGGCTGGGTTTACAATGAAGCTAAAGTTTATGATTGTAGTGGCCAAGTGGTTGTTTGGCTTTGGGATATGGGGGGTGTCATGAAAGGTTTTGATATGCTAACTAGCTAGCTAGCTTCTAACTTGTAGTTAAGTACTTTTCCATGGAAACTTCTCTATGAACAGCTGCTTAATATAATCATGATGAGGTTATTCATATGTATGAGAGGGGATATATTAATTTATTCTAACATCAGAATCTGATTCTCCTAAACTCAGTTAGGGTTGAGGCCATATACGTCGACCGGCAGCCCCAACTGTCCTAGGTTGACCTTCCCGAGTTCCAATCTTATTCAACTAGTTAATTAGGGCCGACCCCTCCTCAAATCTGGAAAAGAAGTGGCTAGGAAGTTAAGGGCATAAACATTATAGTTAATTGCGTGGTGCATTCGTAGGATATACAATTAGTACTTTAGTTGGATGCTTCAAGAAGTTGGAATATGTAATAAAACACACACACAGAGGGTCGGTCCAAAGATTTTTGAGGCCAGGGGTGACGTCAAAAAATGTGCCCTCATGTCATATAAAAAAAATATTTGTTTTCATACGTGAGACATCGATAAAATTATATTTAGAAAAACACTTCAAACTCAATAATTTAGAAACACGGAATAATTAATTTATCTTGTATCAAGAGAAGGAAACTAAAAAACTTCGGGCTTCCAAGTACATAGATTATGAGTTTTGTTTTCCATATGAACTTTTAAAGTGTTTTAGTATAAATCGTGAGTTATTTTTTCTTATTTACTAACCTCATCAATATAAGACTAAAAAAAATATTAATGTTTTTGAGTCTTTAAGGATATCTATAAGTAATGAATGGACACTAAATTAAACCTTTTGATGACACGTAATAGTATTTGCAAATTTAGTCTACGCATTACTTTTTGCTGAATATTAGACCTGAAATGGAACAGATATTTAAAAATAGCAACCCACATAACTACTAGCTAGTAAATAAATTAACAACCAAACAAAAATTTGTAAAAATTGAAAAAAATAAACATGCACATGGCATTTCGAACTTAGGACCTCTCGTTAATTTTAAACAACAAAAACCATTGCTTCTAATTAAACTTCTTGATCATTTAGCCAAATTTTATAAATTTATACTGTTATGAAAAGAAATTTGTAAAAATTGGAATGTAAATAAGCACACGTGATGTTTTGAACCTAAGGCCTCCTCATCATTTTAAACAACAAAACCACCAGTTCTAGTTAAATTTCTTTATCACTAAACCAAATTTTATAAATTATACTCTTATAAAAATATATATAAACATATCACTTTAATAATTTTGATGCCCTAAACTATCGCCTTGTCCGCGTTGGGCCTGGGTCTGGGCCGGGCCTGCACACACACACAGAGGGCCCGCCATAAAGGGGCGTCAGTTGTGCCATCGCACAGGATCCTTGATTTTTTTAGACCACTCAAAAATATTTGGTCCCTATAAGTTTGCCTACTCTTACTCTACGGAATCTCCTGCACAGTTGCTTTTACCGTTTTGCATGTTTTCAAGTAGAAAAGACAATGAATAGAAGAAAATGTCTCTCGGTTTTTTTTCCTAGTGAATTATCAAACTTTGTACATCAATTGATGAAAAATTATTTGTTTATATTTTCATGGAGACTATTGGCCCCCAAAATCCTAAAGTTGACCTTGATAATAAGTTGAAGAATGCTAAAATAAATTGCACATGCACGTGCTTGTGGATGGATAACGACTGGTGATATTTTGTATTTGTAAGCTCTACATGCATCAATGAGGCATTGTTATTATAAACAATAATGTGTATATATGATAAGTTTGATCTTTCTTACACTAAGAATTTTCTAGTTGAAATGGCTAAAGCGGATACACTTTGCTATGCATCCGAGTTTGAAAATAATGTATGTCTGATATACGTACATCATACATGAATACATTAGCTATAATTAGTTTATCATAGTAATATTGTGTGCTTTTTTAACGTTTGCAGTGGAGATTTTTACTTGTACAATCCCAACATACCTTGAGCCGTTGAAAATACTGACCTAGCTAGACATCATGAAACTTACAGCATTTGCAAAGCAAAATTCAGAAGACCAGAAACAGTGGTCTTCCATTTAACAAGCAAAATAAAATCAGTGGCAGGTGGAGCTGGGGGACCCCTCTACATTTCTCCAAAATCCTGTGGGTTCTCCTTAATTTGTAATAATTTACCCACAAAAGAAAAACTTTCCTATGTCAGCCTCTGCATAACACGATGAAAATTTTAATAGGAAACAAATAAAACATGCACCTAATTATGGTTACTTTGCAAGAGCATGGGAAACTATGAGACTGAATAATTGAGATCATAACTTCATTGGTTTTAAAACTTTTAAGTATCTGCAAAAATACAAAGTCACATTAACT